ATGAAATATTCAAATAAATAAAAAAAAAGCTCAAGGCATAGTTGCAGCAAATAATTCCTTTCTCATCTAATCATCTCACAAGACTTTTAATTGGCTAGCGTCAAATTCACCTAAATCATGTAATATTTCTCCCGATTAATGCCACGTCATTTCTTCTTCACTTCACGTTCATTTTTTAAAATAAAAACTTTAAATGATGTAAAGAAATTCACAGAAAAATAAATTTTTCTCTAAGATGAATAAGAAAATATGTGGAATAATAGGGAGGATTTTATTGGAATTCTTTTAGAGGGAGAAAAATAAATATTTTAATTCGATTTTTACTAAGGATTCAATTTTATTGCACTTATTTATGTACATCGTTTAAATTATTATATTTCATGTAAAAAAAAAAACAGCCGAAATGAGGGTATTCAAATCACGAGCATTTTACCAAAGTAAATCGGATGTGTAAAATATAATGTGAGGATCATTATCCATATCCAGTTAATTTAATACATGGCCTCAAAGCTTATTCTTAATAACGGCGGATAGAAAATTCTGTCCTTACATGAAAATTAAACTTTTCAATCCAGCCGTTTGATGCCGTTGACATTAGTCCCTTTCCCGCGAGGATAAAAAAAAAAAAACAAAAAAAAAAACAAAAAAAAACAAACAAACAATGAAACATCCGACTCTAATACGGGTATAGGGCTTACTTTCAATGTCCGACGTCGTCCATATTCAAGGGGGGTCTATCTCGCGGGAAAGTGGCACCCGCCCAGCCATGTATAGCCCTACTAGCGCACTCGGCGAATTCGACCAGAATCTGTCGTCCGCTTCCTGTGTGCGTCAATTCGAAGTCGGCGTAACATTTTCTGCCGCAGCCGTCCCACATACAACGCGGGTTTTTAGCAAGGGCGCATTCACCGATTTGATGTTCGGTCCATGGCTTCAGGAGCGCGAAGGCGTCCCTGCAGGCTTTGTTGATGTCGGCGCTTGGGGTGCTTTGCTGATTGCGTTGTCTAGAATTGAAGGAGAAGAGACTCCTGAAACGACATGAGCATGGTTCTTTGACTTTGCGTATGTTCTCTCTGGCCGCTTCGAGGATAGCCAAATGCTGCCTGTTCTGAGAAAACAAGTTGGGGTAACTGTGTGCAGCATCACTGCATTTGACTCTTTCAGTCTAGAGAGGCAGATACACCTGCGAGTTACAAGCGCTTGTTAAGAGTGAAACACCAATTGGAGACCAGGATCTCGACCTAGCGATCGAAACCCTGGTTTCCTATTGGTGTTTCACATTCAACAAACCCTTCTAACTCGCAGATGTATCTCGGCCTTAAAGGTCCTTTGTAGGAAGAGCTGATTCTCACGGAGACACTCAGGATGAAAATTTTTACCCGTCCCACAACGGAACACGCGAGAAATGAGAGATGGAAGAGATGAGTTTATTGAACCGGGACAAATCTTTCATACGAAATTGCAAGACTAGCAGACCCTGCCGCTCAATGGATCGAGTCAATTAGAGAGGTCGGACATTGAATTTTTGACTAAAACTGCAAATTTTGATGTTTATTTCGTCATATTTTAAATTTCGAGGGGTGCTTGTTGAATGCAATTTCACTAGAAAACCAATGGAACCGCTTTGATAACCTCAAAATTTTGTATAAGTGGAGTTGTAAGCGTTTAAAGATTCCAAATTTCGTCCAACTTCTCCTGTTGACTCAATCCACTGTGCGCCGGGTATGGGGTTATGCTGGACTCCGGGTTGATCGGCGATGATCTGAGTTGCATTTAGCAAAAAGGAACCAGCGCGATTACAGTGTTTTCAAAATCGTGCCTCTTCTTCTTTTCGTTCAAAAATACTTAGTATATGTCGGTACTCAAATCCACACAATTATTTCCCTTTAAAAGTAATCATTTTTTGGTGGGGAGAAAAACATATTCGCTAATCAGAAACATTTTTTATATAATCATGAGGAATCAACATTTTTAAAACACAGTAATCACGCTGGTTCCTTTTTGCTTTATGCGATCCATCTGTGCCCACCAGCTAAACACTATTCCACCGTAGAGGAAGACACGTCGGCGGCACTGCAGGGCATTAATTCAATTCAGCCAAAGATGGCTTAGCTAATCAAAAATAGGATCTTTCAATGGCCGCTCATAATCTCCCTTAAAAGGTCCTCTAATTTGGACTTTACATTTCGCAACTAGGAATTTTTATATCTGCCTCATCTACAAAATCATCAATCTCTATAGGGAAACCAATACAACGCATGTAGTTTTTAAAATGAGCCGGAAACAGTAGTTCCTTATCTATCAGATTGTGATCAGGAATCTATCTTGTTGTGCTTCATTTCTTACCCGTGGTCCAGTTTTAAACTATATTCTTCTAGAATTGGAGGGAAATTTACTTTCTAAGCGACATTCATACCTATATAATGCAATATACGTTTATTGGAGGTACCGATTTACAATTGTCACCATTTGCTGGGAGCAAAAAGTTGATCTCGGAATTTTTTTTTACATGAAAACGGTCGTGCGGATTTTTGTGCAAATGTTAGTGAATTTTCTGTGTAGTAAAAAGCAAATTCTCTAAATTTTTCAAAAGAATCTGCACAAACGTTCTCTCGTAAAAAATTAATTCGCCCGGTTAAATTTGGCAGTAGTTGATGTGACTTGGTTCCTTTCTGCCAAACGCGGTCCGAATAGCATAAGAAAAATGAGGGATGGGATGAGGAATCCGAACAAATATTCAAACTTTACTCTACTAGATTTCGTTTTACTTTTAAAATCTTTACCTCGTGTGTTTATCGATTTTTTATGGAATATTTTTGGAACTAAAATCCTGACGAAGCTCGGAACAGCTACACAAAAGTTTTGCGTGATCAATACTTACAACTGCGGGATACCGACTCCGCATCGCACAACAGACAGAAAAAATGCAACAGACGAGAGTGAAAATGAAACTAAACTTCATGCTGTTTAATGCATGCGCATTAAATTGAAAATGACGCAAAAAGGCACAGAATTTCCATTAAAAAGCTCTCCCCGACAAGCCCTCTTCGAAAGAAGTCCACACCTCTTTTTCGCTCTCTTTGGCAGAACACGGCATTAAATATGCAACGAGAAATAGAAAAAAAGGCAAAAGAAGTAAAAACAAGTTGGTTTTTGCAATCGCTAGCGATAGCAATATTCGTCATGGGAACTTTTGCTTCTGGGATATGAAAATTTTAAGGTACAGTTCGTTTGTAGTATCTTCAGAATTGAAGGGGCTATGTAATTTTGTGTCGACATCTCTTTTTTAACATTTTTAATTTTTTTTCTTTGCATACAAGAAAGCTGTTATTTACCAATTATTTATTTTCGTTGGATTATGTATGGTTTTTGGAGGTTAACGCATTTAACTTTCAGTTTCGTTTTTTCGGCGTAAAGTATGATATTTTTACTCTACGCATATGCCCGAATACGCATCATAAAGTGACCTATGTGCTTCCTAAGTTGCCATTTTTTTCATTCAAATAGATGTAACCGAAATGTTAGATGTGTACTACCTATACTACTTTCATGTCATTGCTTTATTTATTTATTTATTTATTTATTTATTTATTTACTTTTTGCGTAGGTATAAATTGTTATTTTTTGCTGAGTTTTGGAGAAAATATTGCTTTAAGAACGTGGAATGTAAATTAGTTTTATTGAAAAAAGAAAATACCATCATTAATTTGGGCGAACAGAGAAAATATACATCAATATTTGGGTCAACATCTCCCTGATTATGTAAAGGATGAATATATTAGTATTTCTGTACCAAAAAACTTAGCTTTTGTCTTCAGATAGACACAATGATTCTAGTCCCAGTCAATTTGTTTTATTGAAAAAACAAAAAAACAAAAAATAAATAAAAAAAAACAACTGAAATGTTAGACATACTATTTTCATGTCTTTCTATTTGTATCAATGGGTACTTTTTGCTTAACTTACGAACGTTGAATGCAAATTAACTTTATTGAAAAAAGAAAATAACGTCATTAATTTGGGGGAACATGTGGCTGATTATATGAAGAAGGTATATTCCAGTATTTTTGTTTAACATATTAACTCACGAGAAAATGTTCGTACATTTATCATCTACTATTAATTATTTTTTGATGATTAGTCTAAAACATTCAATACAACCATTAAAAAGTAGTTCCCATCGTCGGGTATCGAACTCCCGATCGCCGGGTGCCCGCACCTAATAAAAAATACGAGGCGGTTTAGTCAACTAGGCTATAATGGGTCCGCGTGGACGAGTGTAAAAATAGCATACAAAAGACTCGGGCAATGGGCGGGACTTATCACAAGAGACCTTGACTGCTTTTAGGATGATATGAAGCGCATTGCTGTTTTGCTGTAGGAGCCATGGTTCGCACTGTTTTAATGCGTCTCGAGGTCCATCCCAGCACGCATTCCGATCGCGGCAGTTGAGCTAAGGCAATAATTGCGTATCCATGAATTAAATCAATCAATCGAGCTCTGATTTTGACTTCTTTATCCGTAACGAGTCCTCCAGAACAATTTTCCACCTTGTACGATGGTTATTATTTCTTTACTTCTATTTTTCAAATTTGAGGTGGGATAATGGCGGCTTCTCAAGAACACCAAGGTAGGCGATCTTTTGCACCAACGAACAGAAAACTGATGGCGAAAAATAACCGATCAGAACCTCCCAAAAAAAAGAATTTGCCTAAAAACGGAACTTCGTGGTTCTGCGCAGATTTACCAGTCAGACATGACATCTCAAGATGGAAAAAAACTCGCTGAAAGCGAATTTTAGCAATCAACACAACTTGACGTAGAGACATGATTGGCTAAAAAATACAACGGTTTTTGATACATCGGAAAATCAACCAAAAATCGGAGACTGGGCGAAACGCTCAAGGTCGCAGAGGTATAGGGAATCCCATAGCGAAAGCAACGGAACGATTCTAATATCATGGGGAACTCCGTTCCCATGACAAAAAAAAATACCAAAAGAAAGAGAATGCTGTATAGTATTTTTCACAAAGGCAAAAAAATCCAGTTCTCATTTCGAATTTTCCACGAATACTTATCTTTCTCATTATGTACCTGCACGGCGAAATAAATTGGGTTCATACGAGACGCTTTTGTTAGTCCGTGGAACTTAAGTTATCAGTCATAAAATGGAACTTCAGTCTAGTTAATCGAATTTCCACATTGGCCAGTTTATTAGTTCTCGTTTCCACCACTAGAGATTTCGGATATCTGAGCTGAAATTTGAGTCTCAGGACCGAAATTTAGGTGTGCCATGAACTGAATTTCAGTACCTACTTGTATTCGAGGTTATTTCTTCGCAAACTAGTATTTGCGTCGCGAGTCAGATTTCGCCGCAAGCTAGTTTTTCTTCGCGAGCTAGTTTTTTCACGCGTGATTTTCAACTTGGAAGAATTACCAGCTCTTCATTTTTAATGAGTAATTTTCACAAGCTGTGCTCTTTCTTAATTTGATGTTTTTACCTCATATTTGCCTACAATTTGTTCAAAATGGACCAAATTTAGTGAAACGGAATCACCATTCCTGGCTCAATGGGACGTATTTCTACCAAACAGACCTATGTGGAGGTGAGAAATATGGGATGTGCTCTAGAAAGCTGCATAAGAAGCAATGTAAAAGTGGGCGTGATTCCTTTTGTAGAATTGGAAAAGCGGGATTTTACAGTCTATCAAAGAGACCTATGTGCCAACTGAATGCGGAACTCGTGAGCCGTGGGCATGGCAAGAGAGCGTTGTGAACAGGGCTCATGAGTTATAGTGCCCCGACGAATATGTCCCCGCCTCCGCGCCCACCCTCGTTCGTTGCCGCTGACGTCACTGGCGCTTTATTATTCTCATTCACTCTTACGGCCAGAGAACTAAGGAGCACACCCCATATTCCTCACCTCCACATAGGTCTGTTTGGATGAAATACGTCCAATTAAGAAACAGCGTAAGTGCCGTCAGCTTCTCTATGTAGATAGGCACTCCTGCGGACGAGCAGTTCCTTACTGAATAATTAGCCTCTAGACAAAGGTAAGAATTACAGAGGCAAGCAACATGTTTTCCCTTCAAAATTTCACGAGAAAAACGAATCGCACAGCGGAAAGTCCTAAATTCAACTCTTTCACGTCATTTGAATGATCCACCTTTCAATTGATGTGTGTTGAAAATATTTGTTAGTGTCTCGTTTCGAGGTTGATCTCGAAACTTTTCGTTCCCAGAGTCATTTCCTACGTAATATTTTGAAAAGAAAACCTGCAATCTTGATATCTGGAGAACAAAACAGCATTAAAAATGTGGCCCAAATAATGTGAGTTTGTTACTGACCGTAGAAACGTGCTAAGTATTGGATCCACAATATTCTCCGGGGAAATCCAGGCCAAAACGCTATAATTTTTGAAAATATTTGTCTTGACGATTTTCCCGCAGAATAGTGTGGACCCAGCACTATTCTATCATTCTATTACTTAATTTCTAGTTCAGACCTATTCTAGTGGCTAAGTTGATCCAAATGCAGTGCGACACAGTGCTGCATTTTTGTCTTTCTCGCAATATCATCTCCTTTCCAACCCCGCCTCGCTTTGACTAGTATCCCCGCAATTCTTCGTGGCTTCCGCATTCGGGCTAGGTGCGATGTCCCTGCGATTTTTGGGCAGGAACCCTCTCTCGACCTCGAGCAGAGTCTTGTTCTGCGTCTCAGGCAGGACGAATATTCCGAAGAGAATCGCCAAAAAGGACCCCAAGGAATACACCAGAAGCAGCCCCCACATCTGGAAAACCTCCAAACACACGGCGTAGAGCTTGATGGATACGAACATGAGACTCGTCCCAAATACGTATACAGCCCCGTTCATCGATCCGCGGATCTGCAAATTCAAAATCAAGTTATTTCTACCTTCTTTTTTTTACTTCTTTTCTTGATAAACTTATCACTACTTTTCCCCCTATTTCGTCGCTCCTCTGACAAAAGGGCGTAACTCAATTTCCACGTAAGTCCTGCGCTCCGTATACTTCTATGCCTCTCGCGGCTCATGTAGATTCTCTCTTACGTCAAAGGAGCGGGTCTGTTGCACGCAAGAGATACAACCAACTGAGTACGCTTTTTAGGAGTAAAATCAAGAGAGCACATCAAAAAAGTCCAAAATCCACTTCTTAGCGCGATATCTGCGTAGTTTGTAACACATACGGATATATAATTATATTTACGAATATAACACATATGGATTGCATTTTGCAAAAAGAAACCAGAAGCATTGCAATGTAGCTAAGATTGTGCAACTTCATCCTTTGCAATAAAACTACCCTGGTAAAAATTGGCGATAGGTGCTGCGTTTCAAAATACCTTAGTATTTCTTAAAGCCGACTGGAGAAGGCGATAGAAAATCATATAGCTGGCTGTAGAAAGTGGAAAAAATCATACGGCCGGCTTACAAGAAGCGATAATAAATTATACAGCCGGGCTATAGTTCCTATCGCCGGGCTTTACACTTTATCGCATGGCTGTTGCTTTTCCGCCTGGCTGTTGCTTTTCCGGCTATAAAAAGCTATAAGATATTGTGTAGAAATTCGTGTGCTTTGTAAATCCTTAAGTTTGTACGGAGTCACTTTAATATTTACAAAACGCACATTATATTTTCCTTCACTACATATTTTTTTCATCAATTAAAATGAGAATAATCCATACAAAGTGTGCAAACATTTCAAAAGTCATGAGTTGAAAAACGCTGACTCCATGAGATTAAATATTAGAGCCTAACACAAAGCGGAGCGGCGGCGCACTGGCGCCTACAAACCTAACAGGGATACTTCACGCATTGCGCAATGCGTGAAGTATCCCTGTTAGGTTTGTAGGTGCCAATGCGCGTTTCGCTCTGGCTGCCCGCCACGCCGCGCCGCAGCGTACCACGGCGCTTGAAGCAACTATTTCTCGCCAGAGGTATTGCACAGTATCATACGAAATTGAAGGCGCTCCAACATATTAGGAATGGCAGGCATCCTTCAAAAGTACGGAGCTTTCCTCGTAAAATAAATCAAGATACTACGGCCCAAAAAGAGAGCGGTAGTCCGAAAACTCACTAAGTCCTAGCATCCGTAATTAGTAACGTTTAGCATACACTTTATCGCCAGGCTGTTGCTTACTCGCCATCGGCTATAAAAGGCTATAAGAAATTGTGTTGCCGGCTATAGAAGCTATTGGGAATCTTACAGCCGGCTGTAGGTCTATGGTATCTTGGAACACAGATTCTACTGCCAATTTTTACCAGGGTATTGAAATCTTGAAGAAGTATGTAATTTTCATGGTAACTTTTGTCTTAAATATACAGTTTTTAGAGAGGAAAAAAGAAACTGTTTATAGATAGTCAGATTTCTCTTCCAAGACAATAAATAGGTCCCACAATCTTAACAACATTGCAAAGCTCCCGGTTCCTTTTTGCAAAATTCAATCCATATAACGTCGCTCTAATAGAGGTCTCTAGCGCTCTGCGACACCTAGCCGTCAAAGTGTTTGTAACACGCTTTTTCAAATTCACCGCGTCTGCGGGCAGTTTTGCTTGGTGGCCGGTAGTCATGTTTGCCCGGAGAGAGACCGAACCTAAATAAACAAGCAATCTATATATATAATATATATAAAATCATAATATAATATAATAATACAAGAGAAAACGTTTGTAAAATTGTTTGCTTGCGTAAGCTAATTCTTCTTACTGATCTGCCTGTGTAAACCTGGTCGGCGGTGCCGGCATAGAATAAAAAGACATGGTGCCGGAAAAAAACTGCCCGCGGACACGGGGAACTTGGAAAAGAGCGATACAAACTACGTAAATTGCTCGCTGAGAAATGGATTTCAGACTTCTTTGACGTGCCTAACGTGACTTTCGTGCGAGTTTGCCTGCAAAGAGAACATGTATTTGACCTATCTCTTGCGTGCAAAGTCAGGCCCATGATTTTTTTTAACAAAAAAGAAAAGAAAAAAGAATGAGTATTATAGCCTGAAATTTTCGCCGAGTGCTACATAGAGAATGGAAGTAAATCAGTAAAAATTCCAAGAAATAGCGCGCTCATCAATGTTTCTGTGAAACAATTAATTGTAACGCAAAGTCTGCATCATCGCAAATCCAGTTTCGTGTCTCTGACACTTAATTTCAAGGTATGTGTGTTCACAGATGAATTTTTCGCTCACCTTGTATGTTAACCGTGCTTGAGCTAGGACAAATTAGATTCGTAAATACAATAAATTCAAAGAAATTATGTGCGCAGAATTTGCGTGATCTGTAGTTCTTTTTGGTTTAGTCCATACGTAAGTCTTTTAGCATAAATACGTTCTATCTATGTAGTATTACCTTTACTTGGACGTATCCCAGCAGCCGTTGCTCAATACTTTTACCATCATGAGTCATCAGTGGACGAATCTAAGAGTTGCCTCTCAGTGATACTCTTTACGTAAATGGTAGAGTCGGAATATAAGTGGGAGAGCTGGCGCCATGTTCTGACGAGTTCCGAGCCCGGTGTGCGCCGAGCTTCGGTCACTTTTTCGATACATCTTCGATCCAAAATGGCGATGTAGAACATGTGGTAATTCCTATCCTCTTTGTTTCCATCTGATGACCGGGTCCCCGTGTATCGAAAACATTCGATAATGTATCGAAAAAGTGACCCGGCGTGACACAGGAGTCTCGGAATTTGGGACCTGGAATATGCTTAGAAGTGGCGCCAACTCCTCTATTTACATAAAGACTCTATGTAAATGTACTCCATGAAGATAATAGCGACGAGTCTATAAAATTCATCGGCTCCGAGTCAGTGTTCAAAACTCACGTTTCAGTTTCAGGAGCCATGTGGCCCATCAAGCTCGATTTTTAGGGGCCATTGAAGATTTTTTAGGGACCAAATTGATTTTCTGCCTATATATCACGACGCATGTAATGAAAAGTTAGACGCAAGATGTTTTAGTTGCAGAGCTAGTAGCTATAACTTGAAGAAGAGAAAAGCTCCAAAAATCACCAAACAGAAAAATGAGGTGGGGAGGGGGGAGGGGAGGCAATGGAGATGTTGCATGTGTGAGGGATTTGCGATTTGACAATAAATTCTTATATAAAAGTTCGCGAGAAACACGATGGTGCCACTGGTTTTCTCTGAAATCAACTCCCAAGCTCAAAAAAAGCTCTCAAAGTGAGGCCAAAATGGAGGGGATATTCCACCCTACCCTGAGAGTCCACCTCTACCAAAAAAAAACTCTCCATGCAAAGATAGGGAGCAAATACATTACGATGGTGAAACTACCATACCACGTATCTCGATTTTTGTCGGTTTTGAGTTAGCTGCATAAATGAGTTGTAGGAGATGTCCTTTATCTGCCACCAAAATATTTTTGTCGAATAAAATCAGGAAGTTATCCAAAACCGTAGTTCAAATATCACATATCTCAGCGCTAATTCGCAATTCACATATCTCGCGCCGGCGGGAAGTTATTGCGTACACACGGCGCGCTCTACAGTACGAAGTACCGAGGCGGATAAAGAATGGTGGTCGTGTTTCGTACCCTCTTGACATCACACGGCATCGGGTACGTTTCGGGAACATCCTGAATGCATGGCAAAGTATGTCGGCGCAGAGTGGATCGAGTCAATAAGAGAGGTCGGATATTAAATTTTTGACCAAAACTGCAAATTTTGATGTTTATTTTCTCACATTTTAAATCTCAACGGGTGATTTTAGAAGAAAATTTTACGAGGAAACCAATGAAACCACTTATAGATCTTAAAATTTTGGTATAAACGGAGTTATAAGCGTTTAAAGTCCAAATTTTGTCTGACCTCTCCTACTATCTCGATCCACTGTGCCGCAGTGAAACTACCGGACCCCGTATCTCGGTTTGCAACGTCGCAGACGCCCTGTCATACTATATATTTTAAATGAAAACCTCTCAACATCAATTCTTGAAATCTTCTGTGATTTTTCTTCTTTGAGTGACAAAGAATCTGTGAATACTTCAAGGAATGATATATTGGCTGGTTTTCATTTGCAAAAATAAAATGGGAGCATTGATTTTTAAACACCGCAAACAAGATACGTGGTCTGGTAGTTTCACCGTCGATACGCTTTTATTAGAAGGCGACTCATCCACCGGGAAAGGAAATTCACCCTCTTTATTTGAAGTGTTAAGGTATTCAAGAAAGTATGAAGTAGTAGTAGTAGTAGTAGTAGTACCCTACTTCTTGCGGTACGGGTCGTATCAGTCTTTCAATTTTATGCTATGCAACGATTCTGAGTCTGTCATGCCGTTTAATAGTATTGTAATTAATAAAGATACGATGATTGGTCCAGTTGTAGGATCAACAGAAGCTTTCAGTGCATGAATAGAAGTACACTGTTCAAAATGACTATTCGCTAAGCCTTAAATCGATCAAAATCTTCAAACAAGAGGCTCAATTATACCTCAATTCAAAATTCACATATCTCGACGTAATAGTGTCAATTCCTACTTCGCAAAACACGTAACTCGGTTTTTCCTCCGTATTTCATCACGGTTGCGACTATTTTCAAAAATGCTCAAGGCGTGGTGAAAAGCATCTTATCATCTCTATCTCCAAGAATTATTACCTTTTAATTATCAAAAATAAGGAACGCAGACAGTTTTTTTGCTCTCCTGAAAAATCGAGTTTTCCGAGATACGTGGTATGGTAGTTTCACCATCGATTAGCAGGGTTGCCGTGTTTTCAGTTTTGGAGTCCCTCTGGGAGTCCCCAAATAAAGTGGCAACCCTGCTAATGTATTTGCTCCCTATATCTTTGCATGGAGAGTTTGTTTTGATGTAGAGGTGGACTCTCAGGGTAGGGTGGGATGTCCCCTCCATTTTGGCCTCACTTTGAGAGCTTTTTTTGAGCTTGGAGATGATTTCAGAGATAACCAGTGGCACCATCGTGTTTATCGCGAACTTTTACATAAAAATCAATGGTCAAATCGCAAATTCCTCACACATGCAACATCTCCATTTGTAGGGACCACGTTGGCGCAGAGCCTTCATTTTTTAGGAGCCATGGCCGATATCTTAGGCGCATTTGGCGCGTTGGCGCCAGTGAGTTACGGAAACTGCTCCGAGTATACCACTCACCTGGAGCGGAAAGAGCTCTCCAGAAATGAGCCACGGGAGTATGGCCACAGCCAGGATGCCGCTGACAAGGTTGGAGATGAGGAGGACGATGGGTACCCACTCGTAGGGTTTCTGTCCGACGGGCGTGTCTTGGAAAACGTACTCGTACACGCCTGCACTCAGGAAAGAGAGGGTCATGAGGATGCTAGAGACGATGGTGGCCGGTTTCCGCCCCACGTAGGCGGTGGAGTAAATGCCGACCGTGCTGCATGAGATCACCCTCGTCACAGAGATGATGATCGAGACGGTGAGAGGGTCGTAGCTCGTGCCCAGCCGCTCGATGAAGTCCAGGGTGTAGTACATGATGTGGAAGACGCCTGATAGGTTCAGGAGGATGTGGAAGATGCACATGATAAGGAAGGGTTTCCACACAGTCGGCTCCAGGAATACCTTCAAATCAAAGTGGACGAATCGTTTTACAAAGGCGTAGCGTGACGGAAAATAAAGGGATTGCTGCGGTCTGAGTTAGGGTTTTTTGGATCTTCCGTCAGCGTAAATTGTATCTTTGTATTTCTATCTATGTTTATATGAGGCTAAGTGTTTCTTACTTTTGAAGTTTGCACTTATGGAATTTTGAGTTTTTGGGTGCCGTCCACCGTATGACACAAAAAAACATTACAAATAAGAAGAAAAAATGAAGTCCGGAGCTCATTTTTTTCAAATGGTATTCTCCGAGACTAGTTTAGGTGAAATAACTAAAATTTCTATTATTTATTTATTTAATTTTTGTTTTCGAATCTTAGACTTAATCCTTTCTTCTGTCTGTCTTTCATAGTATCAGCACTTGAAATATATAAGTAATTAGCTTTACAATATATTAACGGTGAAACGGTAAAAATGCGCATCCCGGTTGCAATGTCCCGAAATCTCGCTCCAATTTTATTTTTTAAAGGAGACCGACCCATCCAACATCATGCCTCGAGATTTTTACAGAATATTATTTATTATTCATATAAAGAGAAGAAAAATCATTGAAATTTTCAAAAATTGAGCTCAGTACTTAGTTTCCCATGTGGAAAATGCAGTATGACAGGAAGTCTGCAACTCCGAAAACCGAGATGCATTTCTGCAGTTTCACCATCCATATGCATTGAAAGGAGATAGGGTAAGCAGTGCTTCCCTTGCTTACACGGGTACTAGAGTCCCTTTATACCCTGAGTGAAGACAACTCACTTTTGGTTGGGCTGAAAGTGGCCCCAAAAAATCCAATTCTGATTGGCTCTCGCTCATGGAGGCCGAAACAAGTGCACCAAGATGGCGGTACCTCGAATGTGAACAAGAATAATGAAAATATTACCTAATTGTGGTTTATCAAAAGTAAATTGTTATTACCATCGGTCCAAAATGAAAATAGATTAAGAAATTATTCACAAACCAATCTCATTTTCTTCTTAATTGATCAATTTGTTGATGTTGTTGTTTTTGTGTGAAGACATCGCAGGATTCCTGATCCTTATCCCTCAATATCGTTCGTTTGGGTGCACTCGTTTCGGCCTCCATGGCCAGCCAAGGCCGACTGCCAGTCAGCTGATAATTGAGTTGTCTTAACTCTGGGTATAAAGGGACTCTAACGGGTACCACGCCCCACGCTCCATGCGCGCCACACGCCACACACGTTGTGATGATTCATCTCAACGGCCGTCGCAAACGGAGATGAGCGGGTCTTAATTATGTGACTGTCATTACTCTACCTTAAATTGGAACTTTTCAGACTGCTCCTTGGAGGATAGCCGGAGCATTTCTAGTTCCCGGAGGATGCCGGAGGGGCTCCTTCCGAGCCTCTGGAGGCTCCGCTTGGAGGCGTCGATGTCGCCCTTCTTGTAGAGCCAGGCGGGGGACTCCGGGGCGAGGAGCTGGATGAGGAAGTAGAGGAAGCAGCCGAGAGCGAAGACACCCGAGGCGACGTTCCAGGGGAGGTAGCCGCCGACGAAGTACGTCAGGGACACCCCGAACGTGAACGACGCCGAGATGATCGAGAGCAGTACGCTCCGCTGCTTCTTTGTGCATGTCTCCGCGAAATACACTACTGCTGCCACCTCCATACCTTTAGAAAAACATACACATAGATTTTTGAATACACATAGAGAATTGGACGTATTTATGCTAAAAGGAACTATGTGGAAGTAGAAATATGGGGTGTGCTTGTGGAAGCTGCATAAGAAACAATGTGGATATAGTTCCTTTTAAGAAAATGGAAAAGCGGGATTTGGTATTAAATCCAAAAGGTCTGAGCGCTAACTCGTGAGCCGTGGGCATGTGACAGGAGCGTTGTACACAAGGCTCATGAGTTACAGACTGACGACCTAGTCGTCGTCGCTCGGTAGATTCATCTTCTTGTTGTTTTCATTTAATTTTTGATAAACCTTTTATTCAAATATTTTTGCATGCACTCTGCATGAACAGGTTTTCATAGATTTTACCCGGCCATTTTTCAAGCATAATATATCCACTCTGTTTCTACAGTTTCTTTCATTTGTAATACTGTATCATCGTTTCTGATCTCGCCAAACATAATGCGGCCGCCGGTCGGCGCTTCACGCATATTAGCGCCTACGAGACTGCAGGAATACTTCACGCATTGCGCCAAACACAGTGCGGCTGCTGGTCAGCGTGAAACGCATATGGGCAATTCAACGAGTATTTTTTTTTGATTGATCCCCCTTCAGAGGAAAGGGGTCTGAGCTCAGATCACGGAGTCTTACAGGGATGGAGGGTAATTAAAGTTTAGGAATACGTACGAATTCCACTTTAAAACAAATATATAAATAAAAACAATGTTTTTTTTTTGCATTTTATCATGTTTTCTTACATACTTACTTTTTAGAAAAATTGGTGGAGGGATTCAAGTCAAACAGGGGAGAGGGTGCGAAGTTGTTTTACCAGTATGTCTTACAGTGAAAAGAGAGGGTTGATAACAATCAGCCAAAATTTTTACATTTTCATCAAAATTTACCACAGTGGAACATCGTATTTCGGCTCATAAGAACGCAGCAGAACGCTCTTCATGCACGACCATACGCTGCGTCGTTAAACATGTTGGTAAAGAAACAGGAGTATAAAAAGATATGTTCTCTGGGCCATTTTCCATTAGGTTTAACCTTGGAGAGCTCAAAAAAGTTCTCGCCTCCAGCTAAATATGGATTTATGCTGAGGTCATGTCACACCTCTAAGTCACCTCTAAGTCTTTGCAGTCGTAATGCGTCATCAGCGTGAATAACGTGACTTGGAGGAGAAAACTCATTAATTTTCTCATGTTCCAAAGCACAGGTATAGAGGACATCGAAACGAAAAACTTCAATGGTTTTCACAAGTATGAAGAAAACTCGAGGGTTTCGAAAATGTTGCACTTACGGCTCTCTTCGCTATCACGGCACAGTGGATCGAGTCAATTAGAGAGGTCGGACATGAAATTTTCGACTAAAACTTCAAATTGTGATGTTTATTTCGTCACATTTTAAATTTCAAGGGGTGCTTTTACAAGAAAATTTCACGAGGAAACCAATGGGACCACTTTCAAAACCTCAAAGTTTAGTATAAACGGAGTCTTAAGCGATTAAAGTTTCCAGATTTTGTCCGACCTCTCCTTCTGACTCGATCCACTGTGCGTTATGTAATTACGGGAGACCACCAGATCCAGCTTTAACTAGTTTTCCAGCAAATATGAAACAAGACTCCTGTACTGCCGTGCTAAGGAAAAACGCCGTTTGAACTTCGAGAGTTGCCAAATTTCCTTTGATAAAAATGTTCATTTTTTAGGAAAGTTATGGGTATATTACCTTTAGATTTTCAAAATCTTCAGGTGAAATTGCGAACAAAATTATTTGAAAAATCGGGAGGAAAATATTCATAAAGTTTACCAGGAAATTCGCGTTTTATCAAAGGAAATTTGGCAACGCTTGAAGGTTCATACGGCGTTCTTCCTTAGCACGGCACGGCAGTGTAGTTATGACACACTTTTGGTTTAGACAGAAATCTCACCTCACACTCCATACGACGTATCTCGTTTGCAGCGTTTGAAAATCTCCGCCTCCATATTATTTTTTTAAAGGAGAACAAATTGACATCATTCCTTGAAGTTTTTGCAGAATTTTCTCCACACAGAGTAGAAAAATCACGGCAGTTTTAAAGAGTTGCCTTCGAGTAGTTTTCCGTTTAAAAAAAAACCCTAAAAAACCCAAAAACTTGGGTTCCGTTGAAAAAATAATATATGACAGGAAGTCGGTTCGTCGCAAACCGAGATACGTGTTTGCGGACTTACACCGCCGATATGTATGTGTAATTTGTGTCTATCATAGCTCCTTTTGATCTATATCTTTTTCAATGGGTTTGTATTAGCATAAATACGTCAAATTCAACGTCGAAAACATTTTTCTATTCCCATCACACATTATCCTCGCCGAAAAAGATAACAATGTTTCATCAAAAGGCCCACTTGTTTGTAGCACTAGGAATCTAATGAACGCTATACAGAAGAACTTTTCATACGAGTAAGCATGAGAATATGCCTTCAAATAATTTTTCCAAGGTTTTAGCTATATGATTGAAAGGGTCGGCGGCAAAATCTACTTAAAAATCGCGCCGAACCAAAGGCGGTGAAGAAATCGGAAAATCACCAGGAGAACTCTGAAATAGATCATGATTGCAAGCACAGGCTCTCTGCTCTGAAGTGATGTGCTCATTGTTTATTTTCTTTCATAACAGATAAGGCACCTAAAAATTTAGCATTTGTCAAGGCATGATATGGACGTATTTCCATCAAACGGAACTATGTTCACTGTGACGTGAACCCTGTAATGCATATATTCTTATGGACATCAGGGCTCATGTTTTAATGCACATAGTTCCGTTTGATAGAAATACGTCCATATGCTCGGATACACAGATACAATTTTACACTTCTCGAGTGCTACGTTAACTCACTCTCGAGTTTCATTTGAAGTTACAATGTTGTCTAGTCTATCTAACCAAATCTCAGCGTGCAGTGTCATTAAACCTCAAAATTCGTTCACTTGAAATCTCTGAACAACCAAGCAGGGCCGGATTTACCTACTTGCCGCCCATGGGCCGCTTGTATTTTGCCACCCCCTTCTCATTCGGTTTGATTCATCAATAAAAACATAAAAGGAACGTACTGGAGGGGTGGAATAAGACGCGTTTACTCGTATTGGACACATGTTTTGCCAAAGCCCTGTGGACACTACTATTAAAAGTTCACGGAACTTTGCGCGAAATTTGAGTTCCGAAATCCTATATTAGTGTAGACAAGGCCTTCCATTTATAAAAAATTATGAAAGTACAAACAGATTTGTGGTTTGATAATTTTAACTTCCGCCGTCGCGCCGCGCTGACCGCACTGTTTGGCGCAATGCGTGAAGTATTCATGCAGTCTTGTAGGCGCTATGGGTTCGAGCGCGAGCCGACTGATACTGAACGCACTGTGTTTGACGACGCAATGCGTGAAGTATTCATGCAGTCTTGTAGGCGCTGATATGTGTTGCATGCCGATCGCCGCGCCGAGGGCGTCTCCTTTTCATCTCAAGTCCTCGTCATCATTGCTGTCTGCGTAACGCCGCTCCAGGCCAAATTGCGTGTTTGGTGTCTCCTTTAACTCGACTGATTAAAGGTGCTCTCTCTTGTGTCACCGAAAGACGACAAAATTAGAAATTACTATACTCTCAGAAAATGAGAGATTTGGTCGCCTTTTTTCATTTGAATTTTTTTCCCTCAATCCAATTTTTTTTATACCTATACATTTAAGAAAATTGCAAAATTTGCCGCCCCCTTAATTTGCCACCATGGGCAGCTGCCCATGTGGCCATCTCCTAAATCCGGCCCTGCGCCTATGTAAAGTTCATTTGATCAAAAGTTTGAAAGAGAGCTTAGGGAGGGAAAAAAAAATGGCCTGAAATGAACAGAAAAGTGCCGAAGGTGCTCAGACTTTCTGAGATACTCTGCCCCTAGACTGTGTCTATGTCATAGCTGAATATTCTGATGACCCATACAAGAGCGGAAAATAATCATGAACTCTGAATAGAAGAATCATATTATGCAATGACTGCCACATCATCTGTGCCAACTCATATGACACAATTGTTCTCAATCTATCCGTTAAGTAAACATTTTTTGCCCATAAACATGTCCCAGACCCACTCCACAACATAGTATCTTTAAGTGTACCTACATATCTGCTTGTCAAGTTCATGCGGTGTATCTAACGTTGCCAAGTGTTGACATGAAACAATCAATGCTAATCCTGGAGATACTATTTTAGGGGGAGTATGGCACGCACTTATCCTCTCTTGGATTTAAAGATTGAACTTCGTGTAGACACTCTTGGACAATGTTATTTAACCTCACGTGACATTATGTTTTCTTGCATACGACTACTTTCTATATTTTGCCCCCGTCAAGATTCAGTTAAAATGGCAGAAATCAAGTATTTGAAAGAATCCGATTTCTGACCCGGATTAGTCCCTTGCAAAGCAATCAAGAGACTATTCTAGATCTGATGCATATAAATTAAGTAAAATGAGCTCACTATAGTTTGTATTTTACAAACGCAGTACTGATCTATTCGGGACCTTATTTTCTGTGAAGACCCCTGCATGTTGCACGACTGTTATTTGGATCATGCATCCCGAAATTAATTATTTTCGTCTCTGAAAAATATTTTTTTGCATGTTCCAGGCATAAAAGCTCATTATTCCGTGAAGAGTGATACACAATTTCATGATTTCAAATATCCCTAAGTGGTTTTTTCCTCCATTCAGATGTGCGCTTTTTCAGGTCCACTCCTCCCGCTCGCATGCTATGAATGCCAACATCACAGTTGTAATGTTTCTCACTTTTGAAGGCTAACGAACTCTTGAAACAGAAATTTGAAATGCAAGAACCAAAATAAAGTCAATGGGTTTCCGTGGAGGTGTATCCTAAGAGAGATTGTTCTCAAAGTTCAAGAGAGTTTAAATTCAAATAGTTTTTTATACTTAAATAAAATATTTTGCACGCAAGACGAAAAAAAAGGATTAACAATGCGTTAAATTTAGGGGGAGCTACGATTTTCGGTTTCTAGGTTCTGCCTGCCAAAATTCGATAAAATAGTTAAAATTTGCGTACATTTTGCCAAGATTTTGACAAACTCTGATGAATCTTGACTCCAGCTGCAAATCTCTCTTTGGGACTGACATTGCCAATTTTTTCAATTTTTACCTTTGTTCCGTTACCATGTATAACTGCAATAAGAGTCAAAAGATATCCTCACGACTACTCACCAATGGCAAAAGAGCAAACACACCGACCCACGTAAATATGCCACACCTCCGTGGCACAAGCTATTATGGTGAAACCAACACCCATATCGAGGTAGAAGAACAGTAGCCCTTTTTTTCGTCCAATCAGATCTATAGTTGGGCCGACAACCACTGATGCGATTGGTGCCATCAAGATGCCAAGACTAGCTGAAACGGAAATTGTAAGGGTGAAGACGAATGAGCGATTTACCTTCAACTGATGTGTTTTTCTAGCCATCCATGACTGATAAGGCATCAATTTATTATGAATTTCCCATCGATTCATCTAGAGGGATAAAAACGATGATACCAATCAGGAATAAACCTGTAAAGTAAAAACTAATAAAGATCTATAGTGATATAGTTTGCGAGCTAATAATAATATATGCCTTTTTGGCGATTTAGGTTTAGTCACAAGTTTTAGGAGGAGCATTATCCTGGTTGTGTGCCTTCTGTTTTGTAGTCGTTAACAAGACAATGCAAGTAATTTATACGGTAAGACAGTTTTAGCGGTAACAACACTCTAGAAATTCCGCAGTTGCAGCCAAAATCTCGGCTCTTCAGGTGTCAAGATTTTTGGGGTGCGCACCCCAAATGGTAAATGGGCAAGGAATGAGAAAGAAACACGCATTCGATACAGCTTTCGATTTCTGCATCCTATAACACTATTTTGCTTTCATTTCTCTCAATTTTGTCAATTTTTGGGTTTAGAATAATTCTGTAGGCTTGGGCGCAGGGGCTGTCGTCCATTTTTTCGCTAAAAATTCAAAATCAATCAAAACTTTTGACGTAATTGATGCGCTTTATCGGAAGCCAGTTCGACCACGTCACTTGAACTTGACGAATCACCTTAACCAAAGGGTGAAAAATGCCTTGATGATACCTACCTATCCAGGTTTCCTCCTCTGGCGTGACATGGATTATACTGTCCTTAGCTTTGAGTTGAGGCAAGAGAGTAGATGATTGAGCCTCTGTTACTCCCGAAAAAATGAAGCACAACATCGCTCCGCTGCAGGCAAATAGCTACAAATATAAATAACCGTCTATAGGAAAAAATTATATGCTATGAATAATATGTATGTCACTTATTTTCCGCATATCGATGGTGAATAATTAAGACTCTGGACTGTCCCTTGCTTGCTTTTTTTCAAACTTACCGCCATTCAGCATCTAATGAAGAAAAATCAACCATTTTTCATCCGTGAAATTTTAAAAGAATTTTCTTCGCGCGTAAGGAAATATTCTCTACAAATCATCCGAAAATAAACTCGTCACCTCTTCTGGAAAAACTAGTGGTTTGAGATAAATAATTATGTGATGCTCTTAAATGTTTTCCATGTAACACTTAATGATTTGCTCTCATATACAAATAAACAATCTCTCAATTTGACGTATTGAGATCAAATGGAATTATCTCCATTGGGACTTGAGCTCTTATACTCTTAAGAATGCATGTATGCCAGGACTCATGGACAATGGCGATAGTTCCAATTGATAAAAACAAGTCCATTGTTTCCAAAAATGTCGATTAACATTTTTTTTTTTTTTTTTTTTTTTTTTTTTTTTTTTTTTTTTTTTTTTTTTTTACTACTTCAAATAGCCCACGAGGGCTAATCCCACGCTTTAAGTCCCATCCCCCCTCCGTCCCTACTGAACCAGCCCCAGGCAACCATTGTTTGAGACCATCAAACTCGGGTCGCCTGGCCGGGAATCGAACCCGGGACCTCCCGATTATAGAGCAAGCGCTACAACCACTACACCATAGGAGGCCGACAACATATGATTTGTGCTGGTTTTTAATTTTTATGACTTTAAATCAATATACCATCAAACACTTGGAGAAAATTGTGTATGAATAAGATCTTTAGACCATTGATTGCATTAAAAATATTCATAAAAATGCATCCTTGAAGTTTGTGTACGAAGTAAAGTGTGGACGAATGGGACTGCATTTTGCAATTTGGAACTATAGATTCTGGTCTAGTTTAAAAACAACGTATGTGCCATCGGTTTCCCTATGCACATAAGTGTTTTTTCAGATGAGCCAGAATCTTTAGTTCCAAATTGCAAAATGCAGTCCAATGTGTATTCGTCCTTCTCTTGAATAATATTTGGCGAAAAGTCGGTTTACTTACCGTTCGGAGCCAGCAGCTCCATGTAATTTTCTCATCCTCCTCTTCTTTATTCATTTTTCAGTTACTCGATTAAACTAAAATGTAAACTAATAGAGAGACTATAGATAGATTCCACCCTCGGAACTAAAATACACTTTATAACTATTATCACTATTACTCAGTATACATTATTATTCCATACATTCAATGTATATAATTAGACAGTATGAGAGACAATAATCGGACAGAAGTAGTATGGCCGTGAGCCGGCCGGTGTACCCTTGGGCACCACTCCGATCTAGTTTCGCGAACCCCTTCGCGGCGTAAACAACACTGATGCTCTTCAAAAAACAATCTATCCAAGCAATTCACTCAATTTATTAAATTACGGTGCTCTTCAAGATTGTCGTGCTTAAGAATAAAACCGTATGAGTATGAAGATACGTTAAATTTTAGGTCCAGAAAATTGTCTATTCAGATTACACATCATTCTCGCCGGCAAAGATAAAAAAAATTTGTCAAGAGACCCACTATTTTGTAGCACTCCACTGAGATCTAAAGGGAAAAGTTTCGGGAGCATGACGCCCGGTGTTCCCTTGGGCACCGCTCCGATCTCGTTTCGCGAACCTCTCGGCGGCGTAAACAACACTGAGGCTCTTCAAAGAACAATCTATCTAAGCAATAGACTCGATTTATAACATTGCGGTGCTCCTCAAGATTGTCGTGCCTAGAAATAAAACCGTATGAGTATCAGAATGTTGCGAAATTTCTACATGCTGAGTTCATACGCTGCAAATAGAAGCTATCAATCGTTTTTCGATGGTTGGAACTTCGCGACGAGTTTTTATGGTCCAAATTCATTTCAAGCAAATTGATATTTTTGCAGCCCTGGTGATCCTTGTCGATTCCTGAAAAATAGACGTGTCACAAAATTTCCAGGGAAACTCTCAACAACTTACGGATGATTCTCTCTCGCAGTTTAACTCTATATAGTTTTACCAAGCAGGTCAAAACAGGCCCGGTGGCTCATAAAAATGTTCGTCAAATACCCATTTTTCCATTTTTCCATTTACTATGCTGTGATCCACAAAACCCCCCCAGCATCGGATTCTAACGCAGTTTTGAAAAAAAAAAAAAAAATACAACAGGAAATTTTTATTCTATGCCACCCCTTAAATTCCTAACTGGAGCCTTTTTGACCCGCGTATTTAAAATATGCGGAGTTCACAAGTTTCACAAACTTTAATGCATGATGTATTTGTACCTCCTTCTCTCTACGGGTACAGTGCCCCCTACCAACGTGTCAGAGATCAAAGAGGGTGGCAAGCAAGCTTCTGAAATACGCTCTACCTATATATGCAACCAATATTTATATCAGGAAGATTGTCGGGACATCATTGGTCGCTGCCACTTGATCATCGAATTCTGATTCCGGCCATCGCGCCTTCGATTTTGCACATGCAATACGGACATCCATCAATCACGAATAGTTGTATATCTCCATTTTCATCAACGCACGTTGATGCGTCTCTTTTATTAAGTTTGAGGAAAATTAATGTCCAGAATATTTTGAGCGAACTAAACTTTAGGACTTAAACTTTGACAGGAGGTCTACAAGGAGAAAAAAAACTTCGTGCGTGGGACCCGAGGTTGAGGTCATATGGATCTCTGAAGTTTTCGGACCACGTATCTAAAAACTTGAGGTCCAGCTGCCGAAGATCTGGTCAGACATCTGAAGTACTTCGATATATACCGAGGAGTTTGGGTCACACATCTGAAGTACTCCGGTACATACCGAGGTGCCTCGATGTCTGACCCGAACTTCGGCAGCTCGACTTCAAGTTTTCGGATGCGTCATCAGAAAACTTCAGAGATCCATATGACCTCAACTTCGGTTCCCATGCACGAAGTTTTTTTCTCCGTGTACAACGTCGCAAACCGAGATACGTGGTCTGGTAGTTCCACCGTCGATATTTGGCTAGCTGCATTGCAGAGTGTATTATTTTTTGCATTCATGTCCCATTTTAATCGGCTCATTTTGATCGTGGTAAGCGTCCTGTATAAACAACTGTCAATCCCAGATTGTGAACTCGGAATCGAACGATATGTCAGTATCCTGAAAGACCAATGATTTTTTTCCATTGAATTTTTTCCGTGAACATCACTTACAATTAATTATATTAAATCTGAGGGAAGGGAAAAAACTAATAACTTTGCTCAAAACCCTAAAAATTATAAAAGGAAATTTTGGAACATGCGAATGCTCATACAACGTTTTTCTTCAACGCGGAAAACAATTTTCAGGATATTTACCAGCTTGGCAACGCTGCCTATGCGTAGGTGTACCATATTGTAAAATATGTATCTCGGATATGCGACCTTGCAAGTTCGAACTTGTAGCAATTTCATAAGATAACGTAATTAATGATACTTCCGGAAGTGTGAGGATCCTCGATTTGACGCATTTAAATGGAGAATAACTATCGCTATTGTACATGGGCTTGGTCATGGATGTATTTTAATGGGCCTTAGGATCCAATTTACAATCAGGATGGTTCCTATTCATTTAAATACAAGATAAAGTGACAGCATAAGGGCGAATAACATGCTCATAAAAAGAAAATCTTGGACATGATAACCAAATGAGATATATTTTAGTCAGTCGGCTTTATTATCTTCCTATTATATTTACAGTCAAGTTCGGAGATTAACGCTCTGATGTACTCATTGATCACCGACTACTAAAAATCGGAGCTGCAGTATTGATTCAGCCAACGCATGAGATGATTAACAAAAATTTGCTCAGCAAATTACAGCGCTCCACATTCACCAGCTATCATCAGGCAATCATTATCTCAATTAGTTCCTTATGAATCTTAAAATAAACAAACAGATACATAGCTTATGCCAAAGAGAGATAAACTGATGCTGCCCTGATTAAACTAAAGTAGGGCTAAAACAATCATGTTGGTCTCATATTAAAATCAGATCCCTTGGTATCGATTGAGATCCGATCTCCTTTTCTATGGGAAGTAACGATGTTACTTTTATGGTAACATCAAAAGTAGCCAGAAATGGAAGGATTTATACCAAAAAGAACCATACGAAAATGAACTAAATTAAGAGGAATGATTCGCATGGATCTTCGTTCAGTATAGTTCCTTTTGGTTTAATTTATTTTCACGTAGCTCTTAGCACTAATACGTCCAGATCTTAGATTCTTATCACAGAATTGAGTCCAAATGCAGTGCAACACAGTGCATCCTTGCCACGTTATTCTTTGCTTTCATCGCTCCTTTCTGACCCCGCTTCAATTTGACCAGCATCCTCTGAATTCCTCGTGGCTTCCGCATTCGGGCTGCTTGCGATGTTCCTGCGATTTTTGGGCAGGAACCCTCTTTCGACCTCCAATAGAGTCTTGTTCTGTGTCTCAGGCAGGACAAATATCCCGAAGAGAACCGCTAGAAAAGACCCCAGGGTGTACACCAAAAGCAACCCCCAGATCTCGAAAATTTCCAAACATACGGCGTAGAGCTTGATGGATACGAACATTAGACTCGTCCCAACTACGTATACAGCCCCGTTCATTGATCCGCGGACCTAAGAACACACAAGAAATTTAAATGTATCTATACATCTGCCTTCCTTGGAACGAAAAAAAACTTCCATTATAATTTTTAGAACAGGCAACTGAATTTTTCGGTCCCAGAAACCAAAGTTTGATTCAGACAATCATTCGGTAATAAGTACGTGCACTAGTAAGGTAAACAGAACATTTATTTACCTGGGCCGATTTTAAGTTGCTGTTAGTCAAAAATTCAGTTGCTGGGATCGAGAACTTTAGTGCGTTATATGAACCATTTTTTTAAAAAAACAAAAATAGCATGGAAGGGAAACATTTGGATTTTTTTAAAAAGGACAAGCTTCCACCCCCATTGTGTTAGGTAGGTATTAAATAAGTCACATGCATATTTATTAATTTAAACATTACGTATCCGTTGAAAATTTACAGTCTTTTACAGTCTCACAATAACAACGGTGAGGCTCATAGTGCCTTTGTTTTAATTTTCTTGTTTTGCCGGTTGAAAATGCGGGTGTGATCCCTGCGAAACGTCCCGGGTTTCTTATTTTATATGTTTCTTTTTATTGTTTGCGGCCTTAGTTCCGTTTTAAATTGTTTCTTCATAAGTGTTAAACGGCCGATTAAGTTGTTTTTCTATCGTTGTTTTATGTAAATAAGTCACCTGAAGCGGAAAGAGCTCGCTGGACATCAACCACGGAAGGATCGATACAGCCAGGCTGCCGCTGATGATGTTGACGATGAGGAGGACGATCGGTACCCACTCGTAGGGTTTCTGTCCGACGGGCGTGTCTTGGAAAACGTACTCGTAGATGCCTGCACCCAGGAAGGAGAGGGTCATGAGGATGCTAGAGACGATGGTGGCCGGTTTCCGCCCGACGGAGGCGGTGGCGTACATGCCGGCCGTGCAGCATGTGATCACCCTCGACACTGCGATGATGATCGAGACGGTGAGAGGGTCGTAGCTCGTGCCCAGCCGCTGGATGAAGTCCAGGGTGTAGTTCATGATGTGGAAGACGCCGGACAGGTTCTGCAGGAGGTGGAAGGTGGACATAATAAGGAAGGGCTTCCACACGGTCGGCTCCAGGAATACCTTTAGAATAAAGCAAATGATTTAATACATAGTGATCAACAGATTTTCGAGGAGGTATTAGGTATAAGAGGGGCTCCCAGGGCCTTCCCACGTTGTTTCCACATGTTCGGCTCCAAGAATACTTTCAAATCAGGGAAAATAATAATATGAGTGGTGAGTGGTGAATGCATAGCTGAAGTGAGCTCCAGCTGGAATTGTATATAGCAAATGGGTAATTTTTATAGAAGGATTATAAATAAAGAAGTGGTTAGAAATGAAAACAAAATACTATGAACTATGCAAAACGATTATTCAGATATCGGAACTTCGCTGTTTTGAAAACGCCTTCAAATGCGGCGTGATACCTCACGCGTTCCGGAGAGTTCAGATGGGCGTAGCCCGAATCCGTCCCGAGTCCGATTCCGTCCCGAAATTAAAACCAGATTCCGATTCCGTCCCGGAAAAATAATTTCTAAATACAAGCGGCAACATCGCAGCAATTTAAATGGTAACACAATAGAAGAATTAGGAAGTGATAAAAGAAACTCACCATGCGATTACGTTGAGAACCAGCTTCTGAGCAAAAATGTTGAGAAGTGTAAACTGATCGGGTGTAAAGAGCCCGATGCGTCAAACGGTAAAAAAAAATAAATAAATACAAATGGAAATATTACAGAAACATGTTAGGCGTATTTTTATGGGAAACAGCGCAAATTAATTTGAATAGAGAATATTCACTACTATCACCGAAGAGTTTGGTGATGCTCGCTTGTATGGCCTTCATTTTTTTCAAAGTTTTAGATTGCAGAGTGGCCTCAGATTTATTCGCAGAGTTGATTAAAATTTTGGAATCTTTAAAAACTTGTTTCAGCACACCGACGAAACTGTACAGATCTGGATGGGTTTTATAAAAAGTGGAGTTATAACGGGAGTTGAAACTCTCACATGCGTTGGTGGTTTTTGTTGGCGCTGCACTTTTCTCAGCCCAAATGCATGGTGGGAAACGAGCATCAGGCGTTATATAATTGTCCGTCAAATAATCACAAAATTCTGTTAGTTCGTCACACTGTGGCTGGACCGACGTAAAAAAATCTACGAGAGCACCCCCTACTTCTGACGGGTCCAGGAAGGGTAACCCGAAAATACGACGCAAAAAAGTACCGATTTCCGAAGAAGGGTCTCGGAAAAAAGGAGTTAAACGCACTTCCTGAATTTTTCGTGTTACTGATCTATCATGATCTGAAACGGAGTGGCTTATTTGTTTACTTTCTGATATGCTACCATTCAAATTGCTGCGATGTTGCCGCTTGTATTTAGAAATTATTTTTCCGGGACGGAATCGGAATCTGGTTTTAATTTCGGGACGGAATCGGGCGATCCCGGTTCAAATAGTGTATCATTGCGCCATAAGTATGTGACGGAAGATTTAAATGGAGATAGCCTCCATGCACGCTGGGCTTGTCGATATCCTCTGAAATGTTTGCAGTGGTGAATGCATAGCTGAAGTGCGCTTCAGCTAGAATTGTATTTACAAATGGGTGGTTTTTCTACGAGGATTAAAAATAAACAAGTGGCACGGAATATAAAAAAAGAATATGAACTATGCAAAACGATAATCCGGGTATCGAAACTTGGCTGATTTGAAAACGCCTTCAAACGCGGCGTGATACCTCACATATTCCGGAGAGTTCAAATAGTTGTATCATTGCGCCTTAGAAATGCGATGGAAGATTACAATAGAAATAGCCTTCATGCACGCTGGCCTGTTTGATTTCCGTTAACATTTTTGCAGTCATGAATGCGCTGAAGTGCGCTTCAGCTAGAATTGTAATGTATTTGGCAAATGGGTGGTTTTTATAGGATGATTATAATTAAACAAGTGGTTAGAAATGGAAACAAAATAATATGAAGTATGCAACTCTCGAATGTTCATACGGCATTCTTCCTTAGAACGGCAGTATAGGTGTCACTGTCATCACTCTACCTTGAAGCGAAATTTCTCGGAGAGCTCCTTTGCGGAGAGGCGGAGTATCTCGAGTTCCCGGAGAGTTCCTTCGGGGCTGCGCCCGAGTTTCTGGAGACTCCGTTTGGAGGCGTCGATGTCGCCCTTTTTGTAGAGCCAGGCGGGAGACTCCGGGACGAATAGCTGGATGAAGAAGTAGAGGTAGCAGCCAGTGGCGAAGACACCCGAGGCGACTTTCCAGGGGAGGTAGCCGCCGACGAAGTACGTCAGGGACACCCCGAACGTGAACGACACCGTGAGGATCGAGAGTAGCACGCTCCGCTGCTTCTTCGTGCACGTCTCCGCGATGTAGACTACCGCTGCCACCTCCATACCTTTATTTAAAATAAAAATGTAAAAAACAACAACAAAAACCCATTTTTATCAGTGCTCCCATTTCCCGGAGCTAGATCCGAATTCCGGAACTTTTGAAATTCCCCAAGTGTCTCTAGAATACCTATATAGGGAGAGTATGGACATGTCGAAAATTTTGAGGTTAGATGATGGAGCTCTTAGACCCCAAAAGGGTAGGCAATCTATGAATTCAAATTATCCAGAGTGCATGATTTATAATCACAATTGTTGGGAACTTTCGTTGGTAAAGCACGTATTTAACTTGGTTTTTGCATAAACTTACTCATTTTTGCGAAAGAATACTTACTCATGAATTTTCTTGTCCATTTTCGTTTGATGCTAGAGTCTAAAGTTTGACAATGGCATTTTTCGTTTTCAAAGATTACCTTCCCTTTTGGGCCCTAAGAGCTACATAATTCGAGTTGTCCATACTCTCCCTATATATGTGCCCTAAGTGTTTCGAATCTTTTGCATTTTCCGGAACTTTCTCGGAACTTTTGAAAAAATCTAAAAGGAATCACGGAACTTTTGACGGCTAAGGAGTGATAGAAATTGGAATAAAAGTATGTTCCGAATTCCGGAACTTTTGACGGACATGGAATGCGAGCACTGATTTGTATTCAGCCTGATTATGATATATGATTGACCTGCAAACTACGCTGTATGAAAGATAAACGCAAGCCCGAAAGGTTCCAATATGTACATCGGCATCACATGGTGTAAAATTATAGGCGCCGCATCCTTGTGTCGTGCGTGCTGCCTATCTGCTAATTGAAGGAGCATCACTTTTTTAAGTTACTGGAATAGGGAAGTAGGTTGCAATCTTTCTGTCAATGTCAACAACTCAGTCATACACTTTTTCACTTTTCAATACCGCAAAATCCACTTGAATCAGAATTAATAAATTGAATACAATACGATGCAATAGAATGAGAATTAGTATGTTTTCAAAGTTGAAACGAGTGTAAGTTTAGAAAACTTTTGCATTTTACCCAAATGTTTGAATGCGTACGCAAGCTGCTCAGTGACAAAATTTTTGGCGATTCTCACACCCACACGGCGTGGAGAGCTGAGATTTTCGGTCCCAGCCTCCAAAATGGCGAAATTTTGGTAGTCTGCGGCTAGTATTTGGCAATAATACCGAATTTCGGTTATAAGACCGATATTTCAGCTGTCGAGTTTTTCTCGGTGAGAGCATTGTCACCGCGCTCCAGTTTTTCTCACCCTATAACTGCGATAAAAAAGAGAGATACCTCTTTAACAACTCACCAATAGCAAAAGAGCAAACACACCGACCCACGCATATATGCCACACTTCCGTGGCGCATGCAATTATGCTGAAACCAACACCCATGTCGAGGTAGAAGAACAGCAGCCCTTTCTTCCGTCCAATCAGATCTATAGTTGGGCCGACGACCAATGATGCGATTGGTGCCATCAAGATGCCAAGACTAGCTGAAACGGAAATTCATGAATCCGAGGTCAAATAGGTGATTTACCTTAATCTAAAATATGTTTCCCTAAACGATATGACAACTCAAGAGTAGGGACGACCTAGAAGAGACCGTGCCTAACTTGAAGCAATAGTTTAATAGGTGGGCGAGGGATGGAATTACTCTAATTTTAACCGTCAAATCTGACAATGGGCCAATAGTCAAGGTACGAATTTAAGCACTCTGTTACATGTTTCTGAACTAGAATCTCAAGTAAAGCCTGATTTTCTCACCGAAAATTACTGAAATTAACTTTTAAATGAGATATTAAAGTTTTTATTGTACATTGACTACGGGAAATTTGAATTGCCCGGTCACAAGAAACTCGATACTCTACGTGAGTCAAATCGCGCACTACAACGGTTTTGGCAGGCTTCTCAATCGAGCAGTGTTCCTTTCCCGCCCTTTATCGCTCGAACAATTTACTATAGCTGAGCCAAAGCGTCATGATTGTTGCTACTATATTCGGACTGCATTTTGCAATGTGGAACTACAATATCTGGCTCACTTTAGAAACGACGTGTGCACCATCATTTTCCCTATGCACATAGGTCTGTGTTTTTACTGATGGGCTATAAATTATAGCTCTAAATTGCAAAATTTAGTCCATTTTTATATCGCAGAGACTGCCACGGTAACGCGTCTAGTCTGCTATTTGACTCACGCAGACCCTAGAATTTTTATGAGCGGGAGGTTTGAATTCACGCGTCAAGAAACATGGAATATCTTGGTTGGTTGGTTAGCTAGTGAGTTAGTTTCGGTGATTTTCGTTCCTTAAATCGTGTTCTACGTGAAATTTTGGTTGAGAGACATATCGACGGTGAAACTACCAAACCACGTATCTCGTTTGCGGTGTTTAAAAATCTACGCTCGCATTTTATTTTTTTGAAGTAGACCAAATCAATATCATTCCTTGAAATTTTCACAGAATGTTCTCCGTACGAAGAGAAAAAATCACAGAAATTTTCAAGACTGGACATTAAGTAGTTTTTCATTTAAAAAATAAAGTATGACAGGAAGTCTGCGACGTCGCAAACCGAGATACGTGGTTTGGTAGTTTCACCGTCGATATCTGAATGCTTAATTATGTACCTTGTCTGGTGGTCCATTTACGTTAGTTGCTTCAGCCAATGACCTGTGCCGTCTGTGCTACTTGGTTTGCCGCTCGAAAAAATCCGCAAGTGTGAACGCGGCTATACGAGACGCGTGCGGCCTTGGTGACCTTCCCAAACTTACAATATCGCGCCGGTGAGATCGTTGACCGTTAGAAAAGCAAGGTCAGCGAGTATTGGTGAATTACTGATGAGAAGAAACCAGGAATACTGGGGTGAGTGGTGAGATAGCTTATGCTCCCAAACCTCCTTTGCTAAACTGATACAGAAATGTAGATTTTATAAACTATGACAACAAGAGCCGATGAGACTTCAGCTCGTGAGATGCATGTCTTTCATTCTACATCTTCATGACCGATAAGAATATAAGGAGCAGCATTAAACATAGGTCCTTCGTGATTTATACATACTACGAGCAACATTTCAAAATTATCTCTCATGAATTATTTCTCACCGGAAATTTTAGCATTGTTGCTGTGTTTTGAAATTTGTAAGATTTAAATCTGTCAAAAATGAGTAAAAATTCGACCGTTTTTAGCAGAAAGAAACCAAGCCACAGCAGTTTTTGCCAAATTTAACCGTCCAATTCAATTATTTACATGACAACGTTGGTGCAGATTCCTTTAAAAATATTGAGGAATTTGCTTCTGACTATGCAGAAAATTCTCTGATATTTCCACAAAAATCCGCACAACCGTTTCCGTGTAGAAAACTGAAATACCCAAACAAATTTGGCAATAGCTGATGAGGCTTGGTTCCTTTCTGCTTAACGTGGTCCAATCCGATAACGTCAAATAAAAAGTTTTTGAATGTAACTGATTCTGCTTAAGAGCCGCCCATCAATGATGTTAGGCACTTTTTCGGAATTTTAAATTTTCTCCCTCCCGTATGTCTGGTCCTCTCCCCCTCACTGGAAAAAAAACACATTGGATCCAGAGTCGAGACTCTTAAAAACATCGACAAGAGAAAGTACTCTTGATTAAATCAGAATCTAGCTTAAATCAAGAACCAATCATCTTAATTTAAGCGAATTTCGTTTTGATTCAAGCAAAAATCCGATTGAATCAAGAGTATTTTTTCTTGTCAATGTTTTCAAGAGTCCTCTGGACTCTGGACTCTGGACTCTGGAGTTTCTGGCCTCTAGATCCGATGCGTTTTTTTTTTCAGTGCTCACATCCTCCCTAATAGCATCCTCCTCAGTGAGGTGCGACTTATAGGTATACTTTGCGAAATATCGATTTATCTGCAATGGACTACTAGACAAGGTACGAATTTCAGCATTCTGATACAGGTTTTTTAACCGAAATTTTACGTAGAACACGATGCGCACAACAAAAATTACCGAGATCAACTCCTTACGAAGATATTCAATGATTCTTGATGCGTGAATTCAAACCACCCGCGCATGAAAACTCAATGCTATACGTGATTCACATCGCGCGCTAAACGTTATCATGACATTCTCTGCGATATAAAAATCTGGCAACCTCAATCTTAACGCTTTGGCTCAGTTATAGCAAATTGCTTTTAGTTTGAACAACACATGGTGGGAAATGAACATTGCTCGATTGAGAAGCTTGCTGAAACCGTTCTAGTGCGTGATTTGACTCACGTAGAGCCTTGAGTTTCTTGTGAGCGGGCAGTTCAAAATCCGCGTGACCAATGTAAAATAAAAATGTTAATATCTCCGTTAGGAGTTGGTTTCAATAATTTTCGTTGCGCGCATTGTGTTCAACGTGAAATTTTGGTCAAGAAACATGTATCTGAATGCGGAAATTTGTACCTTGTCTAGTGGTCCATTTAAACTTATTGAAAAGGATCGATAAACAGAGTGTTCACAACGAACATTTTCGAGATTCTTTACCATAGTTTCAAATGAGGAAATATCGATAACCGGTCATTCACGCCTCGCCACTGATCCTCCTTTAAGTATCTAACGTCATTTATGAGCGGTTAACTTATGTTCAATAAATAAAACTGCCTGAATGGCACTAACCTATCCAAGTTTCCTCCTCCGGCGTGGCATGGATTATACTGTCCTTTTCTTTAAGTTGAGGCAAGAGCGTAGATGACAGGGTTTCCGTCACTCCCGAAAAAATGAAAATCATCATCGCTCCGCTGCAAGCGAATATCTAAAAATACAACATGTCAACAAATGTGTTGAAAAAACAAAATTATTTTCAATGTATAAGACACATTTCAGAAATGTTCGACGTAAACAAGAACGGAGAAAAAATGGACCGCGTTAAGCAGAAAGGAACCCATTCAATTATGGGAAATTTAGTTTAAAATAGAAAGAAAAAAAACGGATGCGAGGATTCTTACGCAAATTTCGGTAAAATTTCTGCATATTGACAGCAAATTTCTTAGAATTTTCAAAGGAATCCGCACAAACGTCCTCTTGTACAAAATGAATCGCCCGGTTAAATGTTGCAATAGCTAAAGTGGTTTGGTTCCTTTCTGCTAAACGCGGTCCAGATAAATCCCTGTACTGACCCGTGTTCACCATTTTGCGAAATCATACCGTCATTCTTAATCGTAACAAGGAAATTTAACCTTTCTCTAATTCTAAAAATTGTGCATAAATTCTCTATGCATGTATGAATATATTCTCTACAGACTTCCTGCAAATAATATATATATTACCTTTCCTCAAAAAATTTTTTTGTTGCGAGATAAAGAATTTTGCTATGCTTCCTTGATTTTTTGCACGTGGCCCTTTGAGATTCGCTCTAATCGAAATAATCAATCTCTCGATTTTTCCAATAGTGTTTTTTTTAATATCAGTATGTGCTGAATTCTTCATTTGTATAAATTTACGCTTTGCCACCAAAATGTTGCAAAACATTGTGTGTGTTCAAATGATATTTCAAAAGTTTGGTGTGACGTTCACTGCAAATAAGAAGAAAAAATGGAGCTGTACTTGAACTTAACTCACCGTTCGCAGCCAGCAGCTCCAGCTAATTTTCTCATCCTCCTTTTCTTCATCCATCTTTTCAATTCACTTAATCACACTGAACTATATGCTAATGGAGAGACTTCGACTCTCACAACTTATATCACTATAAACCCTCAATGCTATTCATCATAAATCACTACTTCATATATGCACATGAAGACTATACAATAACGCATTGTTTCAAACTGTAATCGAACGGAAATGGCTTAACCGTAAGCCGGCCGGTGCAACCGAGCTCGAGGGCATCATTACAAACTCGTTTTACATATCTTTCGGTGTCGCAAAGTGGAGCGAGTGAGCGAATGAGAGGGTTTGGACATTATGTCGGAGCTTAAACGAGTATCTTTTTTCATACCAAAAGTAGAGTTTTAAGGTGGTTTCATCGGTTTTCTTGTTGAACCCCTCTAGAAATTAATAGTTTGACGATATTTTAAAAATTTTTAGTTTTAGTCAAAAATGACATGTCCGAACTTCATCAATGGCTCGTATTACCGTGCGTGGTATACAAAGCGCACCAAGTGCTCTGGGAGATTGTCACACCCAGCAAAAAAAACAGTAACAGTGCCGGAATGTTGCAAAATTTCTCCAGACATTCTTTTCCTTTACAGGATTCTTGAAAGAAAACCACGGGATTATTTCGTGAATTTTTTGTAGAATATCATTTACAATCCGACGTGTTTATGTTAAAAGAACTACGTGAAAATGAATTGAGCAAGAGATTCTTCTCAGTGCAGAATCATCCGACACTAGATTTAAAATTTATTTAATTAATGAAATGGGTATATGAACAGCCTTGATACATTTAGTTTCCTTTGTTTCATACTACTTACTGCTTTGTGCTGTGCAAAGCTTTTCGATCATCCGCTGAATCGTTATCAAGCACAACACCAAAGCACTATACAATTCATGCTACAGCTTAAGTAGCAGACAGTTTGAGGTAAATAAAACAAAATGTATCAAGCCCATTCATACTTATTTCATTAATTTCATAAAAAGATACCTTAACATGTTTTCAAAATGTATTTGTTCCTCTTATGTGGATGCACAAGTATATTTTGATATGAGCTTTGGAGAGCATCGAGTTATACGGGCGAAGTCGCTCATCTCAGGCTCGGACAGGCCATAAGGCCAATCTGCCATTGGCAGATACGCCTTCTTGGTGCACCAAAAATGCGCTTCTCTGACAGATAGCAAAATAAGAAGAGAAAAAAAAAATTACGATCCTCATATGTACGGAAAATTTCTTAAATGAACGGAAGAAGCGAGAGTTACGAGTGAAGAGAGGTGCTTTTACACATAGTGGTGAACAGAGGTCCAATAACTACTTTCTGAAGCGTGAACACTTTTCTGTGAAATTGTCACCTTTCTGTTGACATGCATGCGCTTCATCATCCCCCTCCTTCATTCTCTATGTGTAACTCCCCTAGAAGCGATAGCCGGTTCGATTTCTAGACATGCGCACACTTTATAGACCTCTTGAGAGACATTTAAACATATTTCTTCCTTTTCAAAATGATTATTGATTTGGACATATCATAACATATCTCGGGCAAACTTAACCTTAATTTATTTCGAAATTCAAAAGTGAGAGACAAACGCGATACAATTATTCTCGCAAGATGGATGTCCACATTGCATATGAAAAATGTAAGACGCGATGGCGTGAGTCGTGAACTCGCAATGCTCTGCTCTAGTTTAAAGCAACATTACAAATAAAATAAACGGAAACAAACACAACATGGAAATAGAGTGAGGGAAAGGATGCGCATTAACGACGGCGCAGAGATACAACTATTCGTACTTGATAGACGTCCGTGCTGCATCTGAAAAATTGAAGGCGCGATGACGCGAAGCGTGAGTTCTCAATGCTCTGCTATACAGGGTGTCCCAAAAGTCCGTACCCCCCCTCGTAACTTTTGAACGGTTGAAGATAGAAAAACGAAACTTTGGGAATGTTTCTATCTTAAAGGAGACCATCTTCCAGGGGGGTCAAAATTTTTGTCCCCCCCTCAGGGGGGGCTCGGGGGCCCCCAACTTTTTTTTTTCAAATGGTAACCCCTATCTTGTGATACCTCATTCGAAAGAGCATAAAAAACTAAGAATTTTGGCGCAAACCGCAAATCAATATCTTAATTTTTGACCGAGTTATGATAGGTCAAAGGTCAACTTTGACCTATTTTCAAAAAATTATATCTCCGGTTCAAATTATCGTAATGAAAAAAATGAAACGGGAAAATTTACCAAATTGTAAGCACTTTCAAGTAAAAATCACAGAAATTACTTCAAACTAATTTCAAGGGGGGTTTCGGACCCCCTAATACGTCATTTTAAAGGTCATACGATATTCTCACGAGATGAGCCAATTTTCCCTTACTTTTCCTTAACATTATCTTAGAAAGTTCAAAATCAGTTCAACATTGCGTTTTCAAGTCCCAAAACGAACAAAGTTTTTTTAAAAAATGAAATTTAAATGGTTGAATTAAATCACCTTAAATTCCGTTTTTTGAACTTCGCCAAAAATTTGGGGACTTGAAAACGCAATGTTGAACTGATTTTGAACTTTCTAAGATAATGTTAAGGAAAAGTAAGGGAAAATTGGCTCATCTCGTGAGAATATCGTATGACCTTTAAAATGACGTATTTGGGGGTCCGAAACCCCCCTTGAAATTAGTTAGAAGTAATTTCTGTGATTTTTACTTGAAAGTGCTTACAATTTGGTAAATTTTCCCGTTTCACTTTTTTCATTACGATAATTTGAACCGGAGATATGATTTTTTGAAAATAGGTCAAAGTTGACCTTTGACCTATCATAACTCGGTCAAAAATTAAGATATTGATTTGCGGTTTGCGCCAAAATTCTTAGTTTTTTATGCTCTTTCGAATGAGGTATCACAAGATAGGGGTTACCATTTGAAAAAAAAAAGTAGGGGGCCCCCGAGCCCCCCCTGAGGGGGGACAAAAATTTTGACCCCCCTGGAAGATGGTCTCCTTTAAGATAGAAACATTCCCAAAGTTTCGTTTTTCTATCTTCAACCGTTCAAAAGTTACGAGGGGGGGTACGGACTTTTGGGACACCCTGTATGCTGCCAATGAGGTGTCGCTCAGATTCGGGAGAAAAGTTAAATAAGAGGCCCCAACACGTTTTCCTACCTTTAGCTGTGTTATTCACGTAGTGCTTAAAGCACCATTACGAATAAGACAAACGCAAACAAACACAACATGGAAATAAAGCGAGGGAAAGGATGCGCGTTGACGACGGCGCAGAGATACAACTATTCGTACTTGATGGACGTCCGTGCTGTATCTTAAAAATTGAAGGCGCGATGACGCGAAGCGTGAGTTCTCAATGCCCTGCTATACGCTGCCAATGAGGTGTCGCTCAAATTCGGGAGAAAAGTTAAAAAAGAGGCCCGAATACGTCTTTCTTGTTGTCGGCTGTGTTGATACTCGTTCTTTCTTCTTTTTTCAGGCTCTTGCCTGATTCTTTTTTAGGGTGGATTTTAGGACCCACGTCTTAAGCTCTTGTAAACCGCAGCACTGGCACGGTTCTTAAGGGAATAATGGTGCTTGGATGCGTCTAGTGGCTTTAATTTTTTTGTTTTCTTTAGTTTCAGAAGTCTGTCGGTCACCTCAATACGTTCAATTTTAAAATTTTTACTCTGTGCGATTAATAAACTTTGAACCTGAAAATAGCGTAAACTTGTGCTGCTTTGCCAAAATTTTCTAAATCCCTCTCCGCGAAGGGGATGCCCCATCAGGAAATATCACATTACGCCCCTTTAACCAGCCAAGGGTCTACGCCCTCAGATGCGAGCCAGTCCGACCCTGGCTCATCTTAAGATTCAACTACGTCTTGACACTACAAAATTGACTACATGTGTAAGAATTACTTTTTTTCTGAGGTTAAACAGTAGCTTTTCAAAGGAAGGTTGTATAAATTAGGGTATCTCAATAGCTGAGTTTAGAAAGAAACCTTGTCCTTCGATTGCAGCGGCTTAAGATCTTCGCTCATTTATTGTTTTTTCGAAAAAAACGAGACAAAAATATTGCTTGATATACACGTATACTTACAAAATATTCTTCGAGTAGACACATTAAATACGGAATTAGGTTTACTTTCAAATGAAAAATTAATTATTGCAAGTATTTAGCTTACGACGCACGGTGGAGCGAAGCATAGGAATGCCCGGTCATCGCCTTGCTCCCCAACTTGTTTCGACTATTCCACTCGTTCCAATGGGCATTTCGTGATGAAACTTGGGCATCTAATGGTATTTTGATCGTAGAATTCATTTTTGACCTTACTTTACTTGATTTATTGACGGAAACACATAATTTTGGGGGTTCTTTTTAACTTTCAGTAGACACGTGAAAACATAAGTTACTCAAAGATAAATTTCACTCGTTCCTGTGGACATTTCGTGTTGAAACTTCGCTGGCTTGTGGTATTTTGATCGTAGAATTCATTTCTGACCTTACTTTTCTTGATATGTTAACGCAAACGCACGATTTTTGTGGGTTTTCAAACTTTCAGCGGAAACATAAAAAGATAAGTATTACCTGATTTATTTATTTTTCCTCCTGGTTGTTTTGTTCTTCTCTTCCACAACCAGGAAGAAAAATAAATAAATCAGGTAATACTCATTTATCAACCTGGTAAAATGGAAAATTCACAAAGTTTATAAAAAGATAAGTTGCTCAAAGATAAATTTTACTCATTCTTGTCGAAATTTCGTGTTGAAATTTGGTGCAATCATGGTATTTTGAACGTAGAATTAATTTTTGACATTAGAATTGTTTGTATGTTAACGTAATTACACTACTTTGGTTTTTCTTTTTTTTTTAAACTTCAGGTAGAAATATGTGAAAAGAAAAGTTACTCGAAGATAGAATTAACTCGTTCTGGTAAAAAATACGTGTTGAATTGTTGATGCACGATCATACTTTCACCTTAGAACCAATTTTTGAGCTTAATTTTGTTAGGTATTCTTTTCTCATGCATACGTGCTTTTGAAGGATTTATTCAATAATCGATCGGAATGCACAAAGAAAATTTACGCAGAGATTTTATCTGTTCCGATTGACAATTTATGTTGCAACTATTGATTTCCTGTGATATTTTCATTGAGGAAGCAATTTTTATCGATACTATGTGATCTCTCAATGTAATGAATGCTCATATTTCTATATCGATTATGAAAAAAATATGGTATTACCGTTACCTTCTACACTGAAAAAAAGAGATAGGGGTTTAGTCCCAACTGTTGGATGATATGGACAATTCCAATTAATTGTGGTGATACCCCAATTCATTGTGGTAGTACCCCGATTAATTGTGGTAGTACCCTCTTTCATCAAGATCGACACCGCTATCTTCATGAAGATCTGAAATCAAAAGCTCGCGGTGGATGTCCTAAGGATCGAGAACTTTTGATTTCTTCTTATTTGAGGAATTATATCTAAACAAACAGAAAACACGGAACACGGAACAACACGAAACACGGAAAATTAAAGATCAATAACACTAACAACGAGATTAAATTGCACGGTAAATCGGTCCATCTCATATCACGAATCACGATGTCTCAGAATCAGCTGGGACACTTCCAACGCTTTGTAAAGGATTTTATATATACCACGCCTGAAGCGCCAAGCGCTTCGGGAGGTTGGGCTGCGAAGTGGTCAGGGAATGTAACCCCTTCTATGATGAATAATTCATTCAAAGGTATTGATAGAACATTCAACATTTTTATTTTCGGCCAAACAATCATATAAGATAAAAGCAAAAACAGCTCTGTTTCCCCGCCTCGATCGCGAGTTCGCGAACCTATCAAATGATGAATTTTGGCCAAAAAATGGGCAAAAGTAAGGTCAAAATTGAATTCTACGATGAAAATACTGTAAGTACATCAAGTTTTAAAATGAAAATCCGACTGAGTGTATTAAGACGCCAAGATAATCAAGTAAGATGTAGAGAAACAGCGAATTCCGCCCTCACTTTTTCGGACAAAAATTGATGTAACTCTCAAAGCGGCAGCTGGCGGCAGCCAAATACGACGGATTCCTCATCCTGGGGGATCACTGGAACACGCCTTATGCATGATTGGACGGCGAAATGCGGCGAAATTTTTAAAAGTCTATTCAAACATTTATTTTCTTATTTTCGGAAGGGTCATCTTTGATCAGACATTACAACGTA